CTAAAGTGCGAGCACATGCTCTCTCTCTCTCTCTCTCTCTCTCTCTCCTATTCATATGTATGGCACACATGCTTTGATGGCAGCGCTAAACCTTATATTAGATATAAAACTAGAGCTGACGTGAAGTAAAGGGAAAACTAATAAAATAATAGGAATTGATTTTTGCCCAAAAAGATAGAGATGGGAGTGAGAGACATATGACTCCTATTTAATGTATCTCTAAATCATTAAAACTTAAATTATTATTACAATAAATAAGTTATTGTGCAATCATTTTGTGTTTGTTTTTAAAGGTTTAAATTATTTTCGGAGCAAAAAATTGAATTATTGTTCACTTGTTTTGTGTGTTTGTAATAATCATAAAACTATAAAAAAAATAACAAAAAGAGTAAGAATATAGAAAATATGAAAAAATAGTGACTCTTTTAGTGCACATCTGCTAATGTAAAGTAAAGTTATAAAAAATAATGCACTCGTTTTGATATACAGTTAATGTCATTGTTATACAATAGGGCACTCATTGCAATACAGAATCCCCTTTTGTGAGGCATATATGGTGTATGTGATGGTGAGGGTTGTTATTACAAAAGCTAGCAAATTAGCTGCTTGGCGTGGTATGGCAGGCATGGCATCCTATGCTGTGGCTTACTATGACTGGGCTCTGGGCTCGTCAATAATTCATCAGTCAGTCAGACCATCGAAACACTATTTTTACAAAGACTCCAACAATATTATACTAACTGTTAGTATTGAGAGAGAGAGAGAGAGAGAGAGAGAGAGAGAGCGAGAGAGAGAGCATGTGCTCGCACTTTAGTTGCCTTTTGCCAACAAATGGCTTATATGTGCTCCAAATCGTCTAAATTAACAAAAGATGGTATAACGCATCGATTTATACCATAATATCTATTGTTTTACTATTAAGTCGTGTCCACACATCACATCAACATTGCTCTCAAGTCTATTAATAATTCAATCCTTTACTCCAATTAATGCAATTATTTCTCACAATTTTTCATTTCAACCATTTCATTCATTTAAAATCAACATTACATTCAATACATTAACGTTATTTCATACAATATCATGACTTTAAAAATAAATTATTAAACAATGCTGGTAACTGTGTCTGCAAACAACACCGAGTCTGCTATTGGAGTCAAAACTTTTATGTCATACGATTGTAAACTTGATTTTATTAATTTAATATATAAATGAAATTTTAAAAACAAAATAAAAAAACTAGTCTATAAATGGGGAAACAATAACTCAATATATAATAGATGCGATGGAAGTGTAGTACACAATGAGATGTAAGGGCAGAGACTTTATTGGAAAGTAAAAGTGAATGAGAGGAGAAGCCCCTGACGGCCAATCAAATATATAGTCTCTGATAAATCAAATCTAGGAATTGGTCTAAAGATGTACAGATAGGCACAGATACGTGCACTCAGTCTGTGCGCTGTAATAAAAAAGTTAGACTAACTTTTTGTTGTGTGTATTAGACTTAGGATAAGATAAATATTGTACAGAAAAATATGTGAAAACGAATGGACAGACAGTAGTAGCGAAGCTCTTACTCCACACAAACATCTCATGCGAACATTATTTTGAGAGAAAAGTACCAGAATTTCGATGTATTTGAGTGAATGAATGAAATTATGCTTTCCAGTGAACTAAATATATTGAAAGCTTATATAACTTTATGTAGAGTTAACTCATTTAGATTTGAATTTGTGATATAGAATTGCATTTAAAGCCTAATTTATTTTACTTTTCATTTGATTTCAATTTTCAGATGGACTCTAAAACTCGGTTTAAATACAGTTTAAAACTGTGTGATAAAAAGGAAAATTTCTATTTATTTATTTATAAGTAAATTGAGAGGAATTGAGTTGAGTTAAGGCAACAATTCATTTAATAATTCTCTATTCTCTTCACAAATATCAATATCTGTTTAGCAGTTATGGCACTAAAAGGAAGAGAAAGTTGTGATTCAATCATACAATGAATATGAGTTTAGTTGTATTAACAGGACGTAAATGCGGCAAAATATTGGCATTGCTTTTGTTAGACATAATATCAGCAAAATGATGGGGCAGACCATCTGCTCAACTCAAGAGGATTATATGTAACATTAGGGGAAACCTCATGAGCCGGTCCTCTACACACCAATTATAATGTCGGACCTGTTCTGATGCTTCAATCAAGTGTATTGACTATACAAACCATAAATTACTGATTAAGTCTAATAAATAGCACTTCAAATCAGTGTCTCTTTCACGACATTATCATAAATAATAACAACTCGAAAATGTGTCTCAATTCGTGAATTGTGTCAAAATTTAAATGTTTAAACAGCGAGAGAGCGAGTCATTCATTCATTCATTACTTTTGTTTGCTTTCAAATATTTATTTCAGTATTCAATTGAATAAATTCATTCGTTTCTCTAAATATTTGCCGACAATTATTAGAAATACTTTTTTGTTTGGAGATTATGAAACAAAATGAGAGGAACCACTCATTTTTATCAGTGAAACAACGGGTCAGTCATATTAAAATCGCGCAAATGTTATCATTTAAAGGTCGGCGCCACGAGCCGTACGCACGCCTTTTCATGAGCGGCACGTGTATGGGCCCGGCTATCAATGCAAGTGCTTCTCAGTTATGATAATATCTCCCTTTCCTCGAGTTATTCGTCACTATGAATGACAAAAAATATGATATCCGAGACCTACAGATCGTATCGAAAGCACACGTTTTATGCTTATTATCCAAACTATTCTCCACTGTTTTGTGTAATAATTGCGTTCAAATGCATTACTCTCTCAATGCATAAACTATTTGATGGCTTTTTTGAATATTTTATATGAAAGCATAACGCGTACAATGCATTCATTTTTATCCTTTTTATGCTTCAAATTATGCTCATTCATATATTCATTGAATATTTTTTACGGTTTCACACATTTTAAAAATATTTGTGACATTTGTTGAAAATAAGCGCATATTTGTGAAAAACTCGAAATTATTTGTGTTATAAATATTGATATATTTGAGAAGAGTATAAAAACTATGAAAAAAGATAACTCTTTAGTAAACTTACCGATCAATGATGACTGGATCAGAAGGGGTTTCATTGCGATTACCACAGCTTTTCTTATCGCAACAGCGGCTGAGTTATGGATGAAAATAAAATAAAAACAAATTGAAACAAACAATAGAAATGATTGAATTGCGAGAATAATAATAAGAAATACTAATTGAATGAATTTCAGGCAAACTCGATTACCTGCACATCACTTCATGGGTGAGCAAAACGCGACACATCTCCGGATTTTTGTCCTGACCCTCGTATATGATTGCCTTCAAACACAAACGATAATACATTTTATTTATAAATCATCCATAAATTCAATAGACTCTGGCATTCAATAAAAATACATTAAATTATAATATCATTTGTTACATCAGAATAATTGGAAATTAAAGAGTCATTTGTTTCATAACAAAAACATGTCTTTCAATGCATTGAATTTTATGCTCCTTGCTCCTTTTGCTTTCAATTCATATTCATTATTCAAATGTTGAATTTTTTCATTTTTTAATAGAGAAGTTCGGATGGAGTAGTGTACGAGTGAACAGGTTTTTTGTGCCACCCCTACACCCATATGGGCTACAATTATCACAACATTGCAGACATTGAATGGATGCCTAACTATTATAATGGTCTGTAATAATCATTGAATGAAAACTGCAAAAGGAGAGAGAGAAAGATGGCTGATATGGTCGACTGACATCTGCTTCAAAAAGACCTCGATATGTGCGGTGTTTTTGTACAATACAATACTAAAGTATATAATGTATTTTAGAGGGCTAGCAATTCATCCATTCATTCGTATCATTTCTGGTCTCTCCCTTTCCTCCCATCCCTCTCTACACTTGTTAATAGAAAACATCTCTAAACCCAAACACGAAAAGCTTTTCGATGTTTATAATATAGTGTAGACTATAGACTACAAGTGCTCTAAAAACTAGACATGTTTTGCAAGAAAGTGTCATTTGAGAGGCAATGACTATACCATGCAATCACTGGTTGTGAAGACTTGACAATCAAATATAAACCAGAATTGTATTCATAAATCTGTTGAATTTGATAAATTTCATATAATATAGAAAGTTAGTTACAAAAATGGGCTCATATGTGGACTGGCAGGTGGCCTAATGAGAGCATGTGTTCACTCTATGCAGTCGTGTTAACGAGAGGAACACAATAATCATTGAAATTATAGCTAACGGGGCTCACAATCAATGGACAGCATATCACATCTCAAATGGCTTTCGATAAATACTGTTTTGCAACAAATATTACAAACTCTCTAAAGAGTACATTATTTCAGCAAAAGTCTTAAATAATAATAATTCCTTCATTAAACTAATATACAAAACTTTGCTTTATTTCTTTAAATCTTTTCAATATACTGTACTCTGTATTTATAAATATAACAAAATATTTTTAAGTCATCTCTATTTAAATACCAATTATAGTGAGAAATATACAGTAATCACAATTTGTTAAAATAAGTATCTTTTTAGTCGAAAAGATTTTGCAAATTTATTCTCAAATGATTTTCAAATTATTTGTTTTTTCGCTTATTATTATGGATATAAGTAGAAAATATTAGAGAATTGAAAGTTTTCTCCAGAATAATCAATCTCTCTGTAAGAACACGAGAGAGAGAGAGAGAGAGAGAGAGAGAGAGAGAGAGAGATGAGTTCATTCTCCTAATTATTGCGAGAGCATAGATGTATGTGTTGTACGAGTGGTTGGGTATGGAATGGTATGGTAGGGCTGCCTGTGCCCAGACAAGCGTTTGATTGATCCGAAACGTTTCATTGATTCTACAAAAAGATGAGACTCTAATACAGTGTTTGGATAGTGAGAGCACCAGTACTAGAGTTGCCTAAGAGCTGGTGGTTGTGTACACGACTGAGGAATGAATTGAGTAGTCATTGGTTTGGAACAATTCATTCAATCCAATAGATTGCTATTATTGTGTCACTCTTTAAAACAATTGTCAAAATTAAAGCCGATATTGGCGTTAGTGTTGGTAGTGTTGGTGTGTTTAACATTTGTTTGGGGTCTCTTAAAACACTATACATTATAAGCCAAACAACGTTTAGTTTAGGCATTGAATGCTTTGAATCCACTCAAAGCCATAAATGTATATAATCTCGAGTAAGCCTTACATCTCTATAACTATATGCTCTCTCTCTCTCTCTCTCTCTCTCTCTCTTTCGATGTGGAAAATCAATAAACTTTTTGACTGTACGGTCAAAAGCGGCTGATTTATCATTTGGTGGTTTTGTTTTTATGAATCACGCGCTTCATCTGCACTACTATTATGCCCTACAATACACTTCTCTAAACAAATACTGCACTCTTGTATGAATAGCAACTCAAAAGTATTGCTGTATTCATATGTACAGTATTTATAAGTTATTCCTAACATGAGTTCAAATCCATTTTTCTTTCCACTTTTATAGTCGACTCAATAATCAAATAAAATATAGATTTTCTCAATTCAATTTAATTGAAATATTCATAAGTATTATTAAAATAGTAAACATTTCTAATCTCTTTAACTCCACTTATAAGGGGTTATATAATTGAAAGACAAATATTTGAGAAATTAATAGCAAATAAAATATGAATTTTACTTTATATTCTATTAGATATAATTAGCATTCACCATGGTAAACAATTAGAAAAAGGTTTAAGATTCAGATGAAATGCATATAATGACAATGAATTAAAGCAATGCATTGTATATATAGAGTGCATAAACTAATAGTAACCGCAAATGGATTACACAATGATTTATGGATTACAAGTGCTTTGAATTGAATCAAACTAATAAACTAAATGCAAATATCAATACATCACTGTCTGTGACATTGTTTTGCTAACAATTCCTATATTAATAACAATGCCATATCATATATGATGACTTAAATGTTATTTTGTATTCAACGATTCATTTGTCGACAAATAAACACAACAAATGATAGCATAAATTAATTGATTTCATTGTGAATGGCATGAAAGACATACCTGTTTGGTGACTGAGTCGATGAGACGGACGTACAGATCCTGTTCTTGTCGGACACCTGTTCACAGAAAAGACGGACAACTTTTACAATAAGTAATTGATTTAATGGTTTTGAATTATGTATTAAGCAATCGATTGAATGCCTCTCTTTGCCACTGCTTTTCACTATTTCTCTATCATTCTGTCTCTGCTAACACTCAATAAGTTTGATATATTTCAACAAAACACTAAACTTAAGGATTAAAGGTTTTAGTGGAGAGAGAGAGAGAGAGAGAGAGAGAGAGATTGAAAGAAATACCGTTTGCGTAGAGAAGTTGAAGTCTATAATGGATGCCATTATTTGTTTTCTGGCCCTCGCTTTCCTAAATATTAAAAATACCATTAATCTCATGGAATAATAAAATAAAAGTTTTGGTGAAATACCTGATCTTTTTCAACAAACCCGATGAATGTGGTCCTCTCGACCTCGACGGGTTGGCCGGCCTTATCATAGAGTGCTATAACAAAGTGAAAGAAATTGCTTTTCCTTAAGTTGGACGGCGGCTGCTTCTCAAAGTGCGCGCGACCTAAACCAACACTATTGCCGTATATGAGACACGCGTTAATTGACAGGTATATCACGAGTTATATAAATGCGAAACTATGGGTATATCACAAACACCACAATAGTATACATATATGAGACAAATGGCGGAAAGCCATACAAATTACAAATCAAGTGCTAATTGATTTGTGGTCTGACCGACAGGTGAGCTAATGAATAGAACAAAGATTGGATGTGAGGTGACAAACCTGGCAACAGCAGCCTGGTCAAGCATCGAGGATTGCATCCAGGCTGCGGCACCTGAGCGCACGGTGTGATGGTGGTGGTGGTGATGCAGCTGCGCGTGCGGGTGATGGGCCTGAGGCACATGCAGTGCTGGCTCTTCCTTGAGCGCGGCGGTCGGCGCCATACACGGGCCCCGCGGCTGATGTACACCTCCCCCCTCACCCCCGCCGTGGGGGTGCAGACCAAACATCGACGACACGGAATACGCCACTATTGGGCCGGTTGTGAGCACTGGTAGCTCTCGCACTCTCTATCTATTCACTGGTGATTTTAATGTCAGTTCTCCAGTGGAGTTGATGTTTAGACTTTGGCTTTATTACCACTTATGGTAATAATTATTATTATATTTTGGCCCAAATTTTGGTCACTTTTTTGGTGGCAATAGTGACCAGAATTTAATAAATTCTCGTTTTAAATGAAACGTTTGTTTTCACATAAAAACTGGAAATACTAAACAAGTGATTAGGGATTTAGTCTTAAGTCATTCAAACCACATGTGATTTGATGGCACTGATGGCACTCACTATTGAATACTCGGCAATAATATGTCTCTTGCCGTGCAGTCGATACCTTTCCCTTAGGAAGCAGTCTCGCACATGTTGATGGCCTACGATGTCATACAACAAGTGCACCAAACATGCCCTGTCCTCCCTGACCACTCCTCCACCACACGCCCCACTCCGGAGTATGTGTGTCGCGCAGCCAATCCATTGCCTGAGTATACGTACTGCTCAATCAAAGTTAACGGTCTTATCCAATAAAAATCAATTATTTAGTTTTACAAATACCAATCAATCAATGATATTGGACATTTTTTGTCCACTTTTATCATGAAAGTCACACCTGTATGCATAGACCAGACTGTATTCATGTCCACCAACTTAGCCCTCAGGCTATTCAGAGATTAGGCACTGTTTGGTTATAAATAGTGTACAAGTTTTGCTATTTATAAGCAATTATATGAGACCACAGTTTACAGCGAATCAATCAATTGAGGCTTTAAAACAAAATACCTTTTAGTGACTTCTCTACCGCTAATGACATTGTGTCGGCTCACAATTGAGAGGTCATCCAAAAGTGGGACAGTAGCTCATCATTGGCTTAAATAATTATAAAGCTATCAGAAGCTATGCTCTCGTGTTCTGCAGCCATTCTGTAGTCATAATACAGACGAACTCGGCTTACGGTCAACCCATCGGTCCCTCTAAACGGCATTTCTGTTCATTTTAAGCAGGATTTCAAATAAGTGGGGAATAGTCTACATATTTCATACAATTTGTTATGGTCCCATACCTAAACCACACTAATTGTCAATTGTATTATAATAAATGCTCATTATCACTCATCATTGTACTTTAATTATTATTTCATTTTATTGAACTTTATTGAAGTCTATTATTAAAAACCATAAAACTTAGAATAAACTAAATTATTTAATTAATTTTAGTTTATTACGGTAATTAGATTAGTGCTTGTATAATTTTGTAATAAATGGTTCTTTAAAATATTTTCGCATTTTGATATTTTTGTTGATATATATTTTATATTAAAAAGTAAAAATCAATATTTTAAATAACATCAATAATTACCAAAATGAATTCAACTGTTCAATTAAATCTAATATCACAGAAAAATAAAAGTTATTTGAAAAATGCATTCACAATAATGGGCTTTATTTGCAATTATAAATATATACGAAGCGAACTATTTTGATGAAAAAGTTTTGTTTTATTAACAAAATGATTGCGAGACTAAGTGAGGCTTAAAACCCTGTGAGAAATTAATATGATTTGGAATTAAGTATTAACTCAATTAATCTTTTGTATACATTCTAGCAAACTTTTTCCGACTTATGAATATTTATATGAAATGTTAATTTATGGCAAACTTTTTCGTTCGTAAGTTTATGTTTCGTTATATATTTATATATTAGAGCATTGAATTCATGAGAGAATTGCGAAACTGTTTGTTTCGCTGGGTTTTAATGAAACTTAAATTAAAACAAAAAGTTATAACTTTTATAATTGAGAAGAATTCACAGTTCAGTAGTTGTGCCCAACATTTCTGGTCTCAAACTCTAATCTCTGCCCAAAAGGCATCGCATTCTCGACGGAATAGCGGAGAAACTAAAGGCAAACAAACATTACTTTTATACAGAAGTAAACCAAAGAAAAGGCTTTCAAAACAGAGGTATGAGAAGAGGTCAACGAATGGATTAAATGATAATTTTTGGGTCGAATTAAACACGTTTACTGACCCCTCAAGGACTCACCCTTCCCTACAAATGCACTGCATTTTGCATTTTGATTGCAAATTCAATTTATACTGAAAACTTTGTTTTACTGCTAATGCATTGCAACTTAAAAGTAAATGTTTTAGTTTGAAAAATCGTCCTTTTCCAATTTATTATTTATTTATTTATGATATGCTTAATAAGTAGTGATTTTTGAAAACTTTAATAAGTCATAAATATTGAATGCAATGGAAAATTAGATGAATTGTAAAGTACAGGGAGAGTTGATGTTCACTACATCTGTCACAAACAAGTGAAGTCTACAATAGTTTGGCTAATGTTTAAGTGAAATTGTATCACAAATATATATTTATATAAATTATTTGGCAAAAGTGATCAATACATAGATCTCTCATAGAGTGATAGAGAGGCAGACATACAATAGAAGGCAATCTGTGTATAGAAATAGTGACATATAGTGTTAGGTAGTGTTTGGTATGATTTGCCGAAAACTGCTAAATATTTGATAGGAGAGGCCAAGTGGTGGTGCTTTGAATGAGGGATATCTTATCGGAACACTCGATTCAACACATGCCAGTCCGTCCACCATTGCATGAGGTGTTAGTGATGCGTGACATGATCCATGTGTGCATGCACCCCACCAGAGAGTCTATGTAACACAGAGATAACTGACCTCCCAGTACATCAATACTGCACTACAGCTCGGGTGCACTCACTCTAACATAAAGGTCAACGCATTGATGAACTCAACGTTATTATCAATTGCTCATCAAAATAAATTTGTATTGTATTGTCTTATTAGGCACTCCTCTCCCTTCCCTTCCCTCTCCTTTTCATTACACGTTTACCATTGAGTTGATGTGCACTTCCAGTCAGGGCTCACATGCACTGCCTTTTTTGCACCGCATCTCACTCTCGCACCCATCCATCCATCCATCTGTTAGTCTATCGGCGCCACCGAAAGCACCAAACGCTACACAAACTCTCCTTCTGTTGCATGAAATTAGAGAGAAATCTAAATAAATGATTGAATGAATGGATTGAATAAAAGGTATACATTTAAGAACTGCTCGTATATTATATTATATTAACTAAAACTTCGTTTTCAAGCATACAATCAGACAAAACTTAATCCAATTTGAAGAGCTGGTAGTGTATTGCAGTACAGACTACACAGTGTATATGCAATGGACTTTCATTTTCACATTTTACTAAAATTTGTGTTCATTTGAAGGCAAATGTGTTGGAAAGTTGTCCCACTATTGGGACGCAATACCCAAGACTCACGCGCTATGCAATGAAGTAGTCTTACGGCAGACTAACTCATAGCTTATGTTTGGCTTACATTTGTGAATATGAATACATTCAGTATTTTCTTGTTTTTTTAGCAAAAATGTCTTTTTGGCAAACTTTGGGTACATTTAGGGTCAGAATATGATGAAATGATGTATAGAGTGCATAGACTATGCATTTGTGTGGCGTAGGAGTCGGACCTGTCATGTATGTAATGAAAACAGATGAGGCCTTCTATGCATTATTTAGCAATTGTTTGGATGGAAATACTGTTCAGACGCTGATATCAATTTTGATTTGAATCCATGACCTGTTCCTATGAATACACAACAGAATCATCCGTCAAATCATAGCTGAAGATGTCTGAACACGTTTGGGGCCGACACTCATAAACAAGAATAGAAAGCGAGAGTGAATGAGAGAGTGCATGATTGAGCTGCCGGTGCTCTGCACTGGTGTCTGTCTGGGCGCTCATCTATTCGTGTCAAAGGCTTTCTACTTAACTACAGAGAGAAAGAGAGAGAGAGAGAGAGAGAGAAGTTTGGCCAAAACGAAAACTTTTATCCATTCGTTTGGCAAACTTTGTGTGCATTTACTGTCGATGTTATTCACGCGTCATATATTACAGTACATCCCGTTCCTACCGAAAGGTTGTCAGCCATATAGACTCG